CCTTACCTACTACCTACCTACCTACTACTACTACTACTACTTACGTTACGTACCGTACTTAACGTAGTTAGTTAGTAGCGACGACGACGACCTCCTCTCTCTCTCTCTCTCTCTCTCTCTCTCTCTCTCTCTCTCTCTTTATTTCCTTAATAAGCTACAGCATTTGAATGGATTAAATACTTTTCCTTTAAATACAATTCCTTCAAAATGTAGTGAATTTTGTCATGGCCTGAAGGTTTATAGATTTATATCTTCATTTTTTTTTGTAAAAATATTTTCCATACTAGTGATCTATACAGGATATCTGCTATTTACTGCAAATTTAGCTCCAGAGATCATACGGGATGAATAACAATGAGCCAGTTTGAAAAACTCAGGAATCATGTTGCTCGATTTCAACTCTTTGGCACTTGGGACATTAGAGATTTTGTTGTTTGCAAATGTGCAGGTCCTTTCAATAAGATCAACTATATTTGGTTGATGCGTGTGTTGCTCATTCATGTGTAATGAAACCTCCTACAACGTTGTATTTTTTTATTTTTTTCATAATTTTCTACGAGGGTGGACTTTTTTCCTCATCGTGGAGATATATGAGCATGGTGGTGGATCAACCTCAAAACAATGTCTGGGGTTCTTCTGGAATGGGATCCACGAGGGGACTTTGTCTAGATGCATTGTATCTTGAGATGTATAACTTAGAAAATTTGACAAAAGAATGTAGATTTGTGGTAAACTGGAGTTACAGAGTAACATTAGAGGTACCACTGTACCAAGGAGAAACACGGCTAATGGTAGACGTTTCATGCCCTTATTGGGAAGGAATTACTTGAGGTGGCCAAAGTTTGAATATCTGCTTGGTTTAGACTGGGCTTGGTCTTGATTTGAATTAACTCTTTAAGACTTGATAATACTTGGTTGTTCGTATAAATAAAGAAGTTTTGTTAAGCTTGGTCATGCCTTGAAATTTCAGTAGCACCTGAGCCGAGTCAACTTAGGAGCATCCTGAGTGCGTTTCTCAATTAACTAATTTGTGGTGGTGACAGTCTAGGAGAATTGGAAAACACAATATCTGTTTTCCTAATGAACTGATGTTTTAGAGAAGTGAATTGCTTTTTTTTTTTTAAATAAAATTAGTTTTCGTAAGTGTAGATACAAAAACCTCACAAGGAGTGAGGTTTAAGGCATCCCACTAGATGGGTGCTCTGGTACAAGTATACTAAAAATGGAGCCAAAAAATATAAAGGCCAACCACAGGCTAGGCATAAAAAATCCTAGCTCCACATTATTTGTACATAGAATTAGAGGGTGTGTGCGATCAACAAGTGTGGCACTCTACTGTGGTTAAGCGAGAGAATGGATAGAGGGAAATGGTTTGTTACTTTCTCTCCCAAGGTTTGATTTCGTTCCTTCCCTTTTGTCTCATTTGGTCCATATTCTTTGTAAGGAAATGAGCTGGCTGATTCATTGACACAAGAGTGTTCAGCCGATAATTCTCTTGTGGTAAGGGTTCTATGGAATTATAGCTTACATGCAAGTTATTCATGTTGCTTTAATTCTGTCAGCCGGTCCCAAGCCTGGATGAGAAAGCAGAAGGGTTGTGTTAGGTTGGCAACCAAAGTAAAACCGTTGCCACATCTCTGACGTGAATTAGCCGAACCCAACTAGTTGGGATAGGGCTTGGATGATCATGATGATGACGATGATATAAGTTATTCATGTAACACTATCCTCATTGTATTTTAATGAATGAAATTCAATGTATTGATTCTTAGTTGTTCAAATCATACTTATGTTAGAACTTTTGCTATGGAATCTCAATTGTATTCCTGCTTCCAAACCTCATTCTCTGCACTCCGTGTCCTAATTCTTCGCATTTTGGTATCGGCATTCTCTTACTCTTGCTTATGTTTCCTCTCTTGCCCCCCCTGCATCAAAGTGAAAACAAAAAAAAAATTTCTAGGTCAAGGTGGTCGTTTGAGTTAAAATGTAAAGTTTCAAATTTTTAACTGTGCTGCAGCGAGTCTAGGTTCTCAGCTTTGGAGTCATGGGAATTAGCTTGGTGAATTATGCAGGTCATGCTCTTCTTTTTTGGGTTATTCCTTTCTAGATTGATTTATTTTGTTCTTGACTATTTTAAGGTGGTCTCCATATTTTCTTTCTGTGCTCTTATTCTCTGAACAGTGAGCCAAGTATGTAAGTGGCATCCCTTGTCTGACTTTAGTCTATGATCTAGTCAGGTGTCTTGTTGTTCTAACTTTAGACTTGTAACAGCTATCTTCAGATCATTGACTGATAAATTTTCATGAATGAATGATCTCTCGTGGAAATTTAATCACCTTTGAGAGGACTGCTGAATGCCTGCATTATTTTTGTATTTAGATGCATGTAACACAACTTGTTATGGGATGCATATTTCTGTTGTTCCATTATTGCATGCATATATGCCAAGCAGTTCCTTGTGAGAAGCCTTATTTTCCTGGAATGAGCTCTTTTAATAATATTTTTTGGTAGATGGACATGTTTTTGTATTAATGCTGTTTTCTATATGGAGATGGAATCATATGTCGTTTTTCTTTCTTTGTGATTTGCTTCATTTATCATAGACCGGGCCACTTGCAGAATATTACAAGCTACCTCTAAATCGTGTAGTCGTGGTATGTTTCTTATGATGTTTCAACTAGAATGGTTTTTGCTCTTCTTTTGAAAGTGACTGTATCTACCTATGTTATAAAATGTTACTGAAAATAATTGTGTTGTCTTTTGTTTATATTCCATTATAGGCTTTTGATGACATGGACTTGCCTTGTGGGGTCCTCCGGCTACATCAAAGAGGAGGACATGGATGCCATAATGGGTATAAACTTGAGTCCATATTTGTTTTTCTGTAATATGTTCTAGGTACTGAAATTCATTCGTTAACTTATCCTGCATGTTGACAAAAGCCTTTAAAATAGAGTACTGGATAGGTTTCCTTAAGGACTTCTTAATGACTATGACTCCTATTGTTGCATCTGTGGGAACTTATTGTGAAATAGGTTATGGAGGAGCCAGTAGAAAAGAACTATAGTTGTGCCTTTATGTAGGTATTTCTGTCTCTTTGTCCCTATTCCTATGTTGAGAGAGATAATATTTTGCTTTTAGTACTGGTTTTTATGTTCTCAAATTTAGATGTGTGATTCTGAGGCAGAATGCCCATTCTTTATGATGTTATTTAGCACTATTAGGAAGAAGATGCAGTGTATATGTATTATGCTGTATATAAGATCATGCAATATTTTCCTATGTTGTTTTCTCTTCTAAGCCCCCAATTATTGCCTCCTTGTTCTCCCTCTGCTCTTGTTGACACGTGCCCCCCTAAGCCGGCCAACTCTCCCCTTGAGCAGTGTGCGCTGTTTCCACCTACCCACCACATGGCTCTGTCCGTCCGTCCATCTCCCTAGTTCCCCCTCAAGCCTACCAACTCATCACCCGGGCAACCCTCACCGCCTTCTTCCTCTTTCCATCTGTCCTGGCACTCTTCTCCTTCTCTCTCCTCGGTGACATCTGTCATCTCGCCGACCTCACCGCCCCTGCCTCCCACCCAGCTGTCACAGCCTCCTTCACTCCCTCACTCCTCGCCGCAGCTGGATTTAGACGTCTCTCTGCCGTCTAATCTCCTGTTGGAAAGGACTTTCAGCCACCCTCTGCAGGGTCTTTTCCTGTCAGCTCTCCATCCTACTCTCCTAACCCTGAACTCGAGTCTTATCCCCATGTTCCCCCCATTTCTCCCCCTCCTGCTGAGGGTGACCCTCCAAGTCTCCCATTCCCCTCTGTCACAGATCCTCAGCCTGTCTGGTCTCAAGCCTTCTCTCTCACCCTTCGTCTTCTCCCCGTGCTGTTACATTTTCAACCCTCCCTGGCCCCAACCACCTATCTCTATCGGTGGCCCTTAAACCATCGCCTTCCCCTCCCTTGCCTAAGCTCCCTTGCCCCTCTCCCACTCCTTTCTCTCTGCATTTCTCCCCCCTAACCCTAGGTGCAGCCCCCAAATCTACCACAGGAAGTCCGCCCCCCCCCCCCCCCGGTTAGCCTTGCCCTCAACCAGTCAACTGACAGTGACCCTACTCCTCTGGGCTTTAGTTGTTGTTCATACCATGGACCATCCCCCTCCTTACCCTACGTCCATCGCCAACTTGTTACCCCCTCACCTTATGTTCACTCCTCACCTCATACAAGTTCACAGCGTACATACCCTTCATGTGGCTTGACCCTCTTCCTCTCCTGTGGCATTCTCCTCGTTTTCCTCTATTCAAACCTACCATTACGTGACCTACCTCCCCTCCTATTATGGAACCCCTTCCCTCGCTCCACCCTATCCTCTTGTTACCTATGTACCTCCTGTGTCACCCCCTCAAATCCCTGCTATCCCAAACAGTAACCCGAACCTGTCTCCTTTGCAATCTTTTCAGCCCCTCTCCACTCTACCTTATGATCTGTACCCCTCCATTCCCCCCCCCCCGGCGGATCAAGAAACTGAGCCCCTGTGACTCCTTCAACTCCCATCTGTCCCCCTCTGGTGGCCTTCGAAGCTACATAGGAGGTAGATGGGGATGGGACAAACAGTGACAAGGATAGGATGATTGAAATGTAAAGGGTTATGGGTTTCGAATATAATGGACCAGAAGGGCCAGCTCACAGATTTTTAACAGCCGATGCACAGAGCAGGATGCAGGTGAGTTTCAGAGGCCAGAGAGAGCTTTGTGATCTTTTCACCTCAATCCCTTTCAAGGGACAGCCCGTAGGTAGCCTCTTCCCTACTTCCAACTCTACTTCTTTGAGGAGGTCACCTAGATTGGACTCCTCCTTCTCTTCGTGCGATCTTAAAAAATGAAGCTGCTGGTTTGGAATGTTAGAGGCCTGGGACAACCTTCCAAGAAGGAAGTGGTCAAGGACCTAACATTTAAACACTCTTCTGCTGTACTAGCTCTCATTGAAACCAAACAACCAGAGCCTGATTGCCAACTCATTCGTCAGGTATGGGGTAGAAGACCTAGTCAGTGGGTCTCCTTAGCGGCGAATGGGGCCTCAGGAGGCATTGGGATTGTTTGGAACCCCTCAGACCACTTTTTGAACTCTTCCCACATTGGGGACTTCTCTGTCACTGTTCTCTTAGCTAGTATCTCTGATGGGCTACCTTGGAAATTCACAACTATCTATGGTCCAAACTCACCTACTCTTAGAAATAGACTCTGGTCTGAGTTGGAACTGGTAGCATCCCTTCCTCACCCTATTTGGTGTTTGGGAGGAGACTTAATTTCCCACGAGCGAAACTCCTCAACATCCATTTCTCAGGGAATGAGGGACTTCTCTGATTTCATAAGCCGGAATGAACTCTTGGATATCCCACTCCAAGGCAGTCGATACACGTGGTCCAACCACGCTACCAATCCCACCCTCTCTAAACTAGATAGGTTCCTTTTTTCTCTGAATTGGGAAGAATACTTTCCAAGATCCCTGACTTTGGCTCTACCCAAACCCATTTAGGACCACTGCCCCATTCTTCTAGATGCACTGGCTGTTAAGAGGGGCCCAAGACCCTTCAGATTTGAACTCCACTTGCTGCAAGAGGAGTCCTTATATTCACTCATTCAAACTTGGTGGAACTCTTATCCTGCACTCGGCTCGGGTAGAGCTGGTTACGTTCTTCAAACTAAAATCCAACTCCTCAAAGCTTCTCTCAAGTCTTGGAGTAGGTCTATCCCTAGCAACTTCTCCCATCAAAAATCCTTGTTGCTGGACACCATTCAAACACTGGATTTTCTCGAGGAGTCTAGACCATTGGACTCCTCAGAGCTTGATGTCAGGAACAAGACAAAACTGGAATACCTTTCCACTCTCAAAAAATAAGAAATATACTGGTTTCAGAGGTCTAGAGTCAAGTGGCTGAAAGCAGGAGACCTCAACACCGCCTTTTTTCATCGGATTGCCAATTGTCGAAGGAGATACAATTCTATCACGATGATCAAAAACAACAATGGATTTCTTACTCAACCTGAAGAAATCGAACAAGTCATTGTAGATTTCTTCAAATCTCTGTACACAGCTCCCCTGGGTCCTAGACCCAAAATGTCTTCCCTCGACTTTTTGACCCTCACTCTTGATAGAGCCACTTGGTTAGAGCGACCTTTCACTGAAGTAGAGATCCAACAATCTATTGATGCTCTAGCCAAAGATAAAGTCCCAGGTCCCGATGGTTTCCCGATAGCACCCTTTAAGGCCTTTTGGGACATTCTTTGTCCTGATTTCACAAACTTCTTTGAGGAATTCTTTCTTTGGGGAAAACTTCATAAAGCAATTAATGCCACATTCCTAGCCCTAGTTCCCAAAGTGGAAGGGGCTGAGGAAATCAAGGACTTCCGTCCAATCAGCCTGTTGAACTCAACCTACAAAATATTTGCCAAAGTCCTAGCTTCAAGGCTTCAACAAGTCCTCCCTTCCATCATTTCTTCATCCCAAACTGCATACATCAAAGACAGATAGATCCTTGACGGAGCTTTAGTGGCTCATGAATGCATCCATACAAGACACCTGGACAAAAAAATCTGGTCTCATATTCAAACTAGACTGGGAAAAAGCTTATGACCACGGCGATTGGTCAATCCTGGAGGAGACTACGGCCAGAATGGGCTTCCGAAACCGTTGGAGGATTTGGATGAGAGGGTGCTACTCACACCCCCACTTCTCAATCCTAATAAATGGAACCCCTAAAGGTTTCTTCTCTTCCTCTAGGGGTCTCCGCCTCTCTCCCCCTTCCTGTTCGCTGTTGCTGCGGAAGTTTTTAGTTGTTCCATCTCCCGGGTGTTCCAGGCAGGACTTCTCTCCGGCTCCAGGAGCAGTGGATACAGACCAATTGTGTCCCATCTACAGTATGCGGATGACACATTAGTGTTCTTGGACGCTTCTTTAAAAGAAGTGGAAACCCTTAGCCTCTTCCTCAATTGCTTTCAAGCAGCAACAGGTTCAAAGTCAACATGGAAAAATCAAAGATGATGGGAGTAGTAATTTCAAATGCAGAAGTAAGAGCTCTTATTCCAAACTGGGAATGTCAATTGGAGGATCTCCCTACTACCTACTTAGGACTCCTCCTTGGACTAGATAAACCCAAAAAAAGACAATGGTTCCAAGTCCTAGATAGGTTGACAGACGCCTGGCAGGTTGGAAAGACATACTCCTTTCTATGGCAGGGAGGTCGACCCTGATCAAAGCCACCTTATCAAACTCCCTAGTTTATCTCATGTACCTCTTTCATATGCCTGCTCAAGTGGCTAACCGTTTGGACCAACTCATGAGAAATTTCCTTAGGTCGGGGCAAGCTGAGAAGATAAAATTTATCTCGTTGCATGAGATAACATATGTCTTCCAAAACACCAGGGAGGTTTAGGAGTCAGGGTACTTAGAAAACATAACCTCGCTCTCTTAGGCAAGTGGTGGTGGCGTCTAGCATCCCAGCCGGACTCTCTTTGGGCTCAAGTCCTAAGGAACAAATACAGGATACTTGATGGAGTTTGGGTGCCTGAGAGGATTGAGAGACATAACGTCTCAGGAGCATGAAAGTCTTCTTCTTCGCCTTGTCTCACTTCAAAAAGAACATTAGATTTCATCCTAGAGAAGGTTCCCGTGTGAGATTTTGGTCAGACTTATGGATAGGCTCATCACCTCTGCGTGATGTTTGCCCTACCCTCTACTCGCTGACCGTTAACATAGATTCAACAGTGGTTGAGAAATTGGTCCTATCAGGAGCACGAAGATTCTGAAATCCATCTTTTCGGAGAAATCTAACAGAAGAGGAGATCAACCAGGTTCAATTGCTCATTA